TTCACAAATGAAAGGGAATTCATGAAATGGCGGCGGTTCCATAAGTGGGAGGGAGGAAATATGGACGCCTGGTGTATGTAAGAGCCCTAGTGCGAGTGAGAAGCATGACCTTCGTCCGGCCATTTATAAGGTCTTATTAAATTCACTGCAAATATTTTAAGGGCATGCGTAAATATGTAAAAGAAATCAACTAAAGCATTTAAAAAAATTGACGCGCTAGATTTTTTTAAATTTTCAATCAAACAAGCTTTTTAATTAATTACGTGAACATCCTTTGATTGACTTTCCGCCACGTAGACAGGATTCACATACACGACACGCACACCAACGACCAACCAATCACAGCACTTATTTTAATTTTGGCGCGTAATCATCGAAGTGGTGATTCGTGTGGTGTGTTTCTATGACAAACAGGGTGCACTTTTTTTGTATTATTTTTTTTTGTTAAATGCTATTTTCTCGAAAACTGGCATACAGTTTTTTTTTAAAATAAGCCATGAACATGCTTATATTTTATTTGATCTGCCCCTAAAATATTTGCAGTGAATTTAATAGGACCTTATATGAGAGCCTAACCTAACCTAGCCTAGCCATACAATACCTAGTTTGTTTATACCGTTTCACGAATGAAAAGGAATATAAATTGCGGCGGTTCCATAAGTGGGAGGGAGAAAGCATGGACGCTGTATGTAAAGAGCCTTAGTGCGAGTGAGAAAGCATGTCCTCCGGCCATTTATATTCCTCTTTTGTGAAACGGGTACCTAGTAGCTGACCGTATTTATGTTGAAACTACTAATCGCCCTCGTGATTGACCCCACGTCAAGCTAATGTTTCATGACTATACATTTCGATTTGTGAATGATCTAAACTTGTATGTATGAACGACTATCTCTTTTTAAAAAACAATGAGCAAAATTAATGCATACTTAATTTAGTAACACAATTAGTAAGACTGCAACAGCTTTTTTTATAGCTTTGCAATTGGTTAAACGTTGCAATATTAGGCGTGAAATCCAATCGTATCTACCACTCAATTAACGACTATTGTGTGTTGTATTGTTATTTTCCATAGCCAATCAAGTACCGGATCGGTTTGATAGTCTCTCGCATATCTATATTTGCTTTAGAATCTTATTCGCAGGCTAGACGAAATCCTGCAACGCATGTCAAATACCGGGAGTACCAAAAAGGATATAAGAAGCCGAAAGTAGGTCAAGGTGCTCTTGAAACTGAGTAACTATCCGCATGGAACATTGGCAAAAATTGGACCTTTCATATTTACAAAATAGCCGACAGCTTTAGCAGCTGATCAATAATTTTTTTTTATATTCCGATCCATGTCCTATGAGGAAAGTTGTTGAGTTTCATGTTTAACCTCCTTTCAGCTTGTTATACCCATTTTGTTACTCCCTGTTTTTCTACCCAAGTTGAAAGCGAATGTAACTGGCCGCATTACTATAGATAGAGACTACATTGTATGGGAGTGCGTATAGACGCATCTTGCGATAGTGTGACCTAACTTGCTCTCCGAATTCTCCGATTTATCCGGTCAGAGAGTTACCTATGCATGCGCGGCAATAAAAGGTAGAGCTCTGACTACTATCAAAGGTATTCTGTATTAGTATTGAATGATCATTCAAAATAATGTTCTCCTACTATACATACTAAATCCGAACTACATCCGCGCGCGATCGGATGGAATTCGAAATCGAAATTATTATGGCAAGTGGTTGCCATCAGATCGCGCGCGGACCTATTTATTTATCAACGTTTTCTGCATTCTGCATCTTTAAGAAATATGTCATTTAATAAGCTAAAATCTAAAACAAACCCGTTGGGTATAAAAAATTAACCAACTTTCTGATAAATTCGACATCGATAGCATTTATCAGGTTGTTATATCAATCAATACAATCTTAAAACTTTTAATACTATAGGTTAGCGAACTATAAATTCTATAAGTACATGGAGCTTTTATCAGTTTTTAATAAAGGACAGCCATTTCAAAGCTCTTGTTAAAATTGCCAGTTTACAGACATGCCGTCTAAAGTTCACCAGTAGGTGTATAATGGGGTCGACTGACCATGCTTAGCTGAATACCTTGCTTCATTGTACAATGCTGCATCGCGTCTGGCTCCATGACAAGCAAAGGAAAGCTACGCGTTAATGGATATCGAATATTGAAATCGCAAGTTGATATGGCCTTTGACTGACAGCTCTCAGGTGAATCGCACACGTAGCGGATGATAATGCGGTTTGTGATACCACTACATATGTGACAACATGTCACTAAATAAATTTTATGTAACGACGTGTGCTACACATGAGTGTCATGACATAATATTTAGATACATGCCCTATTTTCTCTGACTACAGGTTGGTGAAATTCTTAGTATATCTATTGCGTAGCTGGTTTCATAATGGGGTCATAATGGATAACTGGCTACGCTAAATACATCGAATTTTACTGTAAACTTTTATCCTGAAGTTTGATACCATTGGGTTAGTTTTTGGTAAAGGATTTCATAAACTCCTATTGTCAAAGTACCGAATCCGGTAAAAAACAGGACAATCATGCGGCGCATGTAAGAACCTTAGTTAAGCTAGCATTCGCGAGATCGTAAATTAAAGGGATCCTGATATACCTACGTCTATAATTATAGATATAAGTCAGATTTATATCCTGCTAAAGTGTATGTGAACTGGTTGTTATTTATCTGAGGTGTCCAGTTTATAGTTTATGTATAGTTGATTGTGGATATTGCGTTGGTGTATAATATAAAGTTATTATTTATAATGGTTAACCGTGTGCCGTCTCAAAATATCATTATAATTATCATTTCTAATCGTGGGTGTTGTAAAGTGAATGATACCGTGTGATGTCAGCTTAAAATAGCATAGCATCAGTCCATTTCTACCCGTGGTGTCGCCCCTTGTAGGATACAAGGGATCAATCTCGGGAATGGGCTGCAGCGTTCCATGTGAACACAACACTTTGCACTGCCCTTGTCAATCCGCCTACTCTCTCTTTCTTTTCGTGTGGGACACCGATTCGTTCAACGACCCGATGAACCCTGGTGTCAGAGTTTTTCAACCGCCTGCAAGTAATAGGCCTCTGACATGGTTGTGTAACGACCGCCATCATTCTAGACAGGAATTTTTACCCGGGCGTCGTTTTCCCCTTACGTCGAGCCTCTCTGTTTCGAGCTCCATTGCGTCGAGCCGCCGCTTTGTTCCCTATACGTTACGGCCTGCCTAAGATAGGGTATCAGAAAGTACAGTCCGCAGAAATATTTTACAGAAATTATTGTTTTTAGGCAATAACTACATTGTATAGTAATACTGACAGGTTGTCAGCCTCTTACCCGCACCAAAGAAATTAATCAACTGTGCATGCTACACTACTAGTTTCTTTGGAAAAGTTGTAGGTCTTGCCAAGATCTAGGTAAATTTTAAGTGACAGCTGTCAAACTTTAAACTCGTTTATCTCGTTAACTGTGAATGCTTTACTATTGGTTTCTTTGGGAAAGTTGTAGGCCTTAACGAGATCTATATGACAGGAGTCAGCTGTCATACAAAAAAGTCGTTTATATCGTAAACTAAACGTGCTAGACTATTGGTTTTTTGGGAAAGTTGTAGGCCTTAACGAGATCTACATGACAGGTGTCAGCTGTCATACTAAAAAGTCGTTTATATCGGAAACTATGCTTGCTAGACTATTGGTTTCTTCGGGAAAGTTGTAGGCCTTAACGAGATCTACATGACAGGTGACAGCTGTCAAACTTTAAACTCGTTTATCTCTTTAACTGTGCATGCTACACTACTAGTTTCTTTGGAAAAGTTGTAGGTCTGGACGACATCTACAGTTTAGGTGACAGCTGTCAAACTTTAAACTCGTTTATCTCGTTAACTGTGAATGCTACACTAGTAGCTTTTAAGCTGTCACTTAAAATGTAGATCTTGGCAAGACCTACAACTTTCCCGAAGAAACCAATAGTCTAGCACGCACAGTTTCCGATATAAACGACTTTTTAGTATGACAGCTGACACCTGTCATGTAGATCTCGTTAAGGCCTACAACTTTCCCGAAGAAACCAATAGTCTAGCACGCACAGTTTCCGATATAAACGACTTTTTAGTATGACGGCTGACACCTGTCATGTAGATCTCGTTAAGGCCTACAACTTTCCCGAAGAAACCAATAGTCTAGCACGCACAGTTTCCGATATAAATGACTTTTTAGTATGACAGCTGACACCTGTCATTTAGATCTCGTTAAGGCCTACAACTTTCCCGAAGAAACCAATAGTCTAGCACGCATAGTTTCCGATATAAACGACTTTTTAGTATGACAGCTGACACCTGTCATTTAGATCTCATTAAGGCCTACAACTTTCCAGAAGAAACCAATAGTCTAGCATGCACAGTTTCCGATATAAACGACTTTTTAGTATGACAGCTGACACCTGTCATGTAGATCTCGTTAAGGCCTACAACTTTCCCGAAGAAACCAACAGTCTAGCACGCGCAGTTTCCGATATAAACGACTTTTTAGTATGACAGCTGACACCTGTCATGTAGATCTCGTTAAGGACTACAACTTTCCCGAAGGAACCAATAGTGAAGCATTCACAGTTAACGAGATAAACGAGGTTTTAGTTTGACAGCTGTCACCTAAATTGTAGGTCTCGTCAAGATGTTAAACTTTTTCTAAGACACTGACAGTATTAAACAAATCAAATCAAAATAGATTTTGTTGAGAACTGTACTCGATGTTAAGCGGCACGATGCCACGAGGCACGGCGCAAAGAAGCCCGATACAGAGAGGCTCGACGTAAGGGGAAAACGACGCCCCGTCCACAAGGAAACCGGGACCGACGGCTTAACGTGCCCATCCGAAGCACGGAACCATCTTACTTGCGGACAATCAGGTGGTTCAGCCTGCAATGTCCTAACCAGACTGGGAACAAATTCACAAAGTGATAAATATCAACTTTATGAGTGACCCACCGGGAATTGTACCCGGAATCTTCTGCGCGGTAGGCAGTCGTACTACCCACTGCGCCACATCACATCTCGGTTGTCACTACTAAGCGTGGATAATAAGCCGAAAACCTCCCTATATGGAGAGACACATGTCCAGCCGTGGACAGCAAGTTGTGGCTGTTAATATGATTATAGTTAAGTCATCTGCCTCCGTGGTCCGACCTGAGCTCAGCAGTTGCATCCGTAGGTCACGGGTTCAATCTATTGGACACGCCTTGTCAATTTACCACATTGTGAGTTTGTTGCCAATCTATGTAGATAACATATTGCAGACCGATCCACTTCATATTGTGAGAAAGACGTGCCTCGACTCGCGCAATCGACGAAACTGAATAGGTAGTTTCTAGTCATATTAATACAGTGTACGAGATCAAAGGGTCGAAATATTGCACTTTCGCATACCATTGGTTAATCTATCGTGTTACCTATTTAATAACGTACGTTTTTATTTTAACAAAATTGGTCCAGTTTTCCGCAGATATAGAGTTGTAAAATCAACTAGGTACTTCCGCTTTTCCAAAATTGTTGTACCAGCGAAGATCAGCGATCGAAGAGCGATCCTACGAATCGTGTCTCGTGGACGTCAACATCGATCCCGGAATGTTGTACCTACAGCTACGTAGAGATTCGTATTCCATAGTTTTTCATTTTCCTGTTGACATCACGAGGCACGATTCATACTTTCGCCGTTAAAGAAAGTAAAAAAAAAGCGTGGTTGATTTTACGCTAGCTATATCTCTAAAAATACTGGACGGATTGTGATGAAATAAAAACCAAAGAAATTAAAAATTCTATAGGTTAACATGTGATACCTGATTGTGAAATATTTTGATAAAATTTCACTTTTTAACTATACTCCGTATAAGAACTCGCTACTGTTGGGGGTCGTAAAACATTGAGTAAAAATACTACACTGGCCTATTTCACTGTTTTGAAATAAATAATTTATAAAGGTCAGTATAGTATTTATTCCACCACGTTTTACGACCCCGACTGCAGCGAGTGGCAATGCGGGGTATAAACAAAACGTTCTAAAGAGATAAATAATACTAACTTCATTAACCATGAATTCTAACTATAAACCCTAAACCGTATGTTTGAACATCACTATAGGCCTATAATCGGGTGTCTAGATGCCGATAATAAACATAATGACTACAAAAAGAAGTCTTTATCTGTTATTGACTCAACCGCCTGCCGCCTACCCGACGAAATAAGCATTTAATTCCAAAATATCTGCTTATATCTGTTTTTTCGGTAGCACATTAACATGTATGGCGCGTCAATAAAGTCGTATGAATTATTTAATTTGAAGTCGTTGCATAATCCGATACAAGGTGAAGAAGCCAATAATCATATGGTAATGAGAATATTAGCTTTTAGCATGATTTTACGGTTTTTATGACACCTTGGTAAACTGTGCGCTAAATTAGATAAATGGACGTAGGTGCATTGACCATCAATTTGAAACTCTATATTGACGAAACACGCACGAAAGGCCAGAAAAGATCAAAAAATGAATTATTGATGCCAAGTAAAAATATGGTATGATCCAAGAGATACAGGCAGATAGATACAGGACACAAAAGATACAATTTATTATGAGATACTAGTGGTAATAGATGATATTTTAAAACTACGATTTGACGTCAAAATGATAGCCTAATAAAATTTATATGACAAAAGCTTTGGTTCAGCTGATCCGGGGATGATGTGATTTGATTACTTTTATACTTAATCTATCTCTAAAGAAACAAGTTTTATTTATGTAATTTATTGTTAATTTAGCCCAAATAGCTATAATCTGGTTCAAAACATCAAACTAGATTCCGCTACAACCTTGAACCCGTCAAGCGAGTGCTTGACCTTCTCACTACGCGGCCTTGGAGTTTTCTTATTTTATGTTAATTTCCAACCAATATCAATTATTTCCTCAAATCAACTTGAACTCACTTCGCTATTTATAAATCATAATAATGTAATATAAAAAATTGCTGAATATTTTTTAAAGGATGTGCATGACCCTCAAAATATAAATATTTTTCAAAGAATGTACAGTTATTTGAAATCGGAAAAATCGTTGTAAGGAAAGTAAAGTTTCTTTTTGAAAAATGATATTTCCTGAGGAAATTGGGTTCAGTTTCAATATGCCGTGTGTTAAACACTGTGCCATTTATACTTATTCTTATACACGCGTGGATTGAAAATTTACGATAGTCAGATTAGGAAATTTGTAAAAAAATGTATTATGTATGTATGTAGATGCCGAATTGATTGACTTTTAACGAAGCCTTTACGAATGAGCGTAGGAGGACTTTATGGCACTTTATATTTATGGACTTAGACTTAAAGAGTATTATCTAGTGAATCAGTGTAAAAATATAGTATTCGTTATTTTAGTAGGTAGGTATGAAGTATGTACGATAGTACGATTAAACAATTTCTTGCACTATAAAATTAAATTTTGGTATTCTTAATCTGGTCGCAAGCAGCCATGGACCGCAAAGTCTGGAAAGAGAAAGGGGAGGCCTTTGCCCAGCAGTGGGACAGTCTAGGCTAATATAATAATAAAAAATAAAATTCTTAAAATTATCTAAAAAAATATACGAAACTATCCACAGGTACCTACTTTCATATTACATAGGTATATACATATATCACGCCTAGGTTTATCTCTTACGGGGTAGGCAGAGCGTAAACGGCAGTAAAAGTGGCTATTTACACCACACTGACAAAAGTTTCAGTCATCAGTTTCCGTCTACAAACATACAAAAATGTAATTTATGCCACGTTTATTCCATTGTGCATTGAAGCACGCAATAGCTACTTTAAATTATTCGAAAACGTAAATGAAACTAGAAGATCAAATGATAAGAAGAAAACCAGTTCGAATCACGTTGTCGGGTGGTTCCGCATAATAAACACATGCACGGCATTCTTAAGAAGATTTATTACCATTTAGGTGTATAAACAATGGAAAACAGCACCTAACTGAAAATATTTCAAAAGGTAAACCACTGAAAAACTACGATACTGAGTAACTTTGTAAGTACTTGCGATTACTTTTAGTTTAGAAGATAGTTTTTAGGTAAAATGCGATTTACCTGGAACCCGACGTTTTGAATGAATTGCATCAGTTGTGGTCGTGGGAAAAACGCTTAGTTCCCAGCTAAATTGCATAAAACTTAAAAACGATTGCGATAAGACCCGGTTAGTAAATATTATGTAACTATGAAAGCCAAAAATGGCTTTCCGCACTAAATTAGTCATTGGTTTTACCTACCCATGAAGCACATGCATGAAGGTACCAGAATGATGAATCAAAGCATGCCAGAGGTCAGACCAGGCCCCAGGGTGCCAACTTGATGCCGACACAGTCTCAGCCCAGTCTGACTAACAAAAATACACGAAAAAGAAGGTCAATGCTAAAGAAATTATCTGCATGCTGCTTCTACAGTAAAATAGCATCAATTTTATGATGTACTTCTGTACTAGAATATCGCCGTTATGAGCATTACTTATATGGCACGAACATAATTTTATAAGTAAATCAATAGGGTGAAATTTTAGTAGTGTAGTGACCGATAGCGAAAACTCAGAACCGGCAGGTGATAGGGAACGACTTTCCCCAAGGAACACAGGCCGAAATATGAAAAAAGAAATTTGGACCTTCCTTAGTAACTAAAATCAGCTGATCGGCAATTTTGTATGGGAGGCCTATGTTCCTTGGGGAAAGTTGTTACTTATTACCAGTCGGTTCTAAGTTTTCCTTATCAGTCACTAGTAAAATTTCACCCAGTCTATGTCAAATCAGCCCCAATGAATCAAGATGAGTGTGATCGATGCTTGAGCTATGCGCGTTGGCGGATATTGCATCGATGCGCGCGCGCACGTGAACTTGCAGACTTGCGCTCTGTTCCTGACTCACGCGCCGAGACGCCGCGATTGTTAGGACATACAGCCTTTGGTAATACCGTAGCAAAAGTCCGAGATAATTTTGAGTTGCGATTCATATACTACTGATTATTGCAAATTTAGAGGAGGTTACATCCTCGACACTTAAAAAATCGTTGAGCATGCTCGATGAAAAAGAAATTTATTTAAAATCCGTGTGATCAGCAACCATGTAGTTAATAGTGATTAATACCATGTAATTTAAATTGTTAAGTACATTTGTCGTAATTATCTACATAGATATATTAATTACTACCCAAATAATATTGGTTACAAAGAGAAAAAAAAAGCTTTCTAATCGTTTTCGTTATCAATAACATGAATTTGTGTTATTTTTCAAAATTGTGGACTTAAACTCAAAGGGTCAAAGATCGCGTTTAGAATGCGTACACGCAGTTTTCGTTTGTGCGTTACGTATTATGTCGTTTATATCCATGAAAGAAATCAAAATAACTACAGAATACCGGTAAAGATACAACCCTTGTACAACCTATAACAATGATCACCTCATTCAACGTCAAGTCAACCTTGTCGTAATACAAGATAACGACAGCTTGAAACTGTACTGCCAACAAAATATCTACTCATCTTACGTTTAAAATAATTATCTACCAGATAAAATACTTCCCTTTTGTGTCCTCACATAATTTTAAGAACGAGTCATTTAGAGCAAGTAAAACAAAATATAATGGTTAAGTCGCATAGGGAGTGGTGCCGGCAGAGTAGAATAGCACCACCCCCTCTCTTCCCGTGGGGGTCGTAAGAGGCGACCGAGGGATGAACCCTACCCAAACAGCCTTGGCCAACCGTATGATGGCGGTTAATCCACCACAAAAGCATTCCCAAGGAGGGTTGACGTCTGGTAGGCGGCCGGTCGTAAAATTCATCCAAATCCTATTGCAACACGATTTTGTGTTCAACGAAACGTGTTGCGCCGACCCCAAGTAATTGGGATAAGGGCAGGAAGATGATGAAGTCGCATAGGGAGGTCAAGGAAAAGACAGAAGATGGAGACTCCGCCGACAAGAGCAATGATCTCATAAAATAATAATAATGAGAAGAATAATTTTAAT